AACAAACAGAAATGAAAACATGTCCAATTTGCACCTGAATATATGTAGCAACATTATTCATCAAAGTCTCAAACTAGGATTTGACAAACAAAATTCACTATATACATCCAATGGATCATTCAGGAATAGAATTGAAGAGAAGAGAATATTTCCCAATTCATTCTATGAGGTCATTTAGTTTTAAAAAATATAATACTATCTATAATACAATTTTAAAAATGTGAAATACTTATGGGAAAAATTACAAAAAAATGTAAAAGACATTGTGAAAACTATATCACTGAGAAATCTGTAAAGACTTTAATAAATGGAGAGATGTAGCTTGTTAGAAAAAGAATTATTTTCTGAAATAAACCAAACAGACCAGTCTCCACAATTAGTCTATAGAGTCATAAAATCTCACTCATAATCCCAGGAAAGTTTTTCTGTAGCGACTTGACAACCTGATCCTTAAATTCAGATAGCAATGCAAAAGGTCTAGAATAGCCAAAACAACTGTGGAAAAGAACAAAGTTGGTGGGTTGACACTACCTGATTCCAAGAATTTATATCAAGCTACAGTAGTCAAGACAGGGTGGTATTCATGTCAACATAAACAAATGAATGGAACAGAATAGAGTCCAGAATAAGATTAAGACCCACATATATATACATATAGCCAACTGACATTTTACAAAGGCGCAAAGGCAATAAAGTGGAGAAAAGAAAGCCTTTTCAACAAATGTTGCCGGAACAAGTAGATATGAATATCAAAAGAAAAAAGAATTAAAACAAGAACTTGGATCCACACATTGCACCATATACATAATTCAAGATGGATAATAAACCTAAATGAAAAACCTAAAAAGAAAAAATCTGAAACTTCTAGAAGAAAAAATTGGCAAAAATCCTCTGATCTTGTAGTTAGACAAAGATTCTTAGGTACAACACCAAAAGGATTATTTTTTTTAAAAAAAGTTCATACACTGGACTTCATAAAAACTAAATCCTTCTGCTCTTCAAAACATATTGTTAAGAGAATGTTGAAAGGCAAGTCAAAGACTGGGAGAAAATCTTTGTAAAGCATGTAACTGGTAAAGGAAAATCTTTGTAAAGCATGTAACTTTGTAAAGGAGAAAATCTTTGTAAAATCTTTGTAAAGCATGTAACTGGTAAAGGAAGGATTTGTAGCTAGAACATAAAATGAATTCTCAAAAATCAGCAAGAAAACTGCAAAAGACTTGAACAGATACTTCACCAAGGAAGATATATGGATGGCAACTAAGCACGTGAAAAGATGCTCAATATCATTAATCATCATTAGGTAAATACAAATTAAAACCGCAAGATACTGCTATTAGAATACCTATTAGAATGCCTACAATTAAAAAGAAAGAAAAAAAAAGAAAGAAAAAAAAAAAAGAAAGACGAGGGGCTTCCCTGGAGGCGCAGTGGTTGAGAGTCCGCCTGCCGATGCAGGGGACACAGGTTCATGCCCAGGTCCGGGAAGATCCCACATGCCGCGGAGCGGCTGGACCCGTGAGCCATGGCCACTGGGCCTGCGCGTCCGGAGCCTGTGCTCCGCAACGGGAGAGGCCACAACAGTGAGAGGCCCGTGTACCACAAAAAAAAAAAAAAAAGAAAGACGAGAGCTTCCCTGGTGGCACAGTGGTTAAGAATCCGCCTGCCAATGCTGGGGAAATGTGTTCGAGCCCTGGTCCAGGAAGATGCCACATGCTGCTGAGCAACTAAGCCCATGTGCCACAACTACTGACACCCGTGGGCCTAGAGCCCATGCTCTGCAACAAGAGAAGCCACCGCAATGAGAAGCCCACGCACCGCAGTGAAGAGTGGCCCCCACTCACAACTAGAGAAAGCCCGCGAGTAGCAATGAAGACACAACACAGCCATAAATTAATTAATTAATTAATTAATTAATTAAAAAAAAAAGAAAGACGATACAAAATGTGGAGCCACCCAACAGCCACCCATCTGCTTCTCCTAGATATAAAGTACAACCACTTTGGGGAACAGTTTAGCAGTTTCTTTAAAAGTTAAACATACACCTACCACATGATTTAGCCATTCAAATACTGGTGATTTACACAGGAGAAAGAAAAACACATGTAACTGGAACATGAATGTTCACAGAAGCTTTATTCGTAAGAGCTAAAAACTGGAAACACAACTACCCACCAAGAGGTGAATTAGAGACTTCCCTGGTGGTCCAGTGGTTGAGATTCTGCACTCCCATTGCAGGAGGCCTGGGTCTGATCCCTGGTTGGGGAACTAGATCCCACATGCCACAACTAAATACCTCGTATGCTGAAACGAAGATCCCGCATACGGCAACAAAGATACCGCGTGCCACAACTAAGACCCGGCGCAGCCAAATAAATAAATAAATGATTTTTTTAAAAAGGTGAATTAATAAACTCTACAGAATGAACTAATGCTCCTACAATGGAATACAAAGCAATAAAAAGAAACTATGGATACACAGAAGGATGAATCTCAAAATATTAATGTTGAGTGAAACAAGTCAGAATAAAAATGAGTGTACACTGTATGATTCCATTCACATAAAACTTTTAAAAACTATAAACTAACCTATAGTAATGAAAAAAAGATTTGTGGTTGCTTGGGGAGGTGTGGGGAATATAAGAAGGATGGATTAAAAAGGGACACAAAGAAACTTCTTAGGTGATGGATATGTTCACTATCTTCATTGTGGTGATAGTTTCATGAGTATGTATGTCAAACTTACTAATCTGTACAATTTAAATATGTGCAGCTTATTGTCTATCAATTTTGTCTCAATAGATCACTTGGAGGAAAAAAAGGAAAACTTACTGATACTTATAATATATATAGACCTCAAATACATTATGTTAAATGAAAAAAAGACAGCCCAAGAAGACTACGTATTTTATGATTCTGTTTCTATGAAATGTCCAGAAATTGCAATCAATAGAGGCAGGAAGATGATCAGTGGTTGTGTGTGGCTCCGGGTAGGGGTGGAAACTGAGTGCACTGAGGAACAAGACAACTTTCTGGGGTGATGGAAATGTTTTAAAGTTGGATTGCGCTGACGGTTGCACAACCCTAGAAACTCAGTTAAAATTACTTGGTGAATTTTATAGTAAATAAAAATACAACAAAAAAGACTTCCTTTTCTGGACCTCCCTGGTGGCGCAGTGATTGGGGGTCAGGCTGCCAATGCAGGGGACATGGGTTCGAGCCCTGGTCCGGGAAGATCCCACATGTCAAGGAGCAACTAAGCCTGCGAGCCACAACTACTGAAGCCCACGCGCCTAGAGCCCGTGCTCTGCAACAGGAGAAGCCACCACAATGAGAAGCTGGTGCACCTCAATGAAGAGTGGCCCCCACTCGCCACAACTAGAGAAAGCCCACGTGCAGCAACGAAGATCCAACACAGCCATAAATAAATAAATAAATAAAAAGATTTCCTTTTCTACAGTACGAAAAAACAAAACAAAAAACCCCACCAACTGAAATTGCAAAAAAAAGGTCAAGGAAAAGAGTTTACCAAGAAATAAAGGTAGCCAGAAATCTCTGGGACAAAACAAAAAACGTACCATAAATTTTTAAGTGGAGTGGTAGAATCAGAAAGTAATCAGAAAGTCAAAATGTGTTACTGAAATTATAACTGAACACTTTTAAATACTGTATGTCAATACTACTTACATTAATGAATACATTTGATTCCAGACACCATACCACTGGTTCACCAACCTGTGTTGATACTATTGAAACAATTTTTTTAAATTAATTAATTAATTAATTTTTGGCTGTATTGGGTTTTCGTTGCAGCGCGGGCTCTCTCTAGTTGCAGCGAGCGGGGTGTGGTGTAAGGGCTTCTCATTGCAATGGTTCTCTTGTCACAGAGTACGGGCTCTAGGCACCAGGGCTTCAGTAGTTGTGGCACGCAGGCTCAGTAGTTGCAGCTCTCTGGCTCTAGAGCACAGGCTCAGTAGTTGTGGCGCCGGGGGTTAGTTTCTCTGCGGCATGTGGGATCTTCCCGGACCAGGGCTTGAACCCATGTTCCCTGCGTTGGCAGGCGGATTCTTAACCACTGTGCCACCAGGGAAGTCCCTGAAACTATTTTTAAAAAGTATAAATATCTCAAATGCAAATATGTTGAGATCGGAGAAATTAAGTGATACAATTAACTGTCCTTATGTTTATACAGATTATCCCAAATGTAAAAAAACCCCTAGCATTAAAAAAAAAGTTCTCACTGCGGAACATAATATAGGGTAAAGAAAATGCTTTTATTTGAGTAAGAATGACCCTAGATGCAAATATCCAAAAGAAGTATAGTAAACTTGGAGATAAGAAGAACGAAAACTACATTAAATTTCATTAAAAATAGTAAACTTAGCACTAGATCACTCCGAACCACATTGAATTTTGTGAGGACAGCGAGAAGAGTGGTGATGGGGGGAGACAAAGTTGTTAGTAAGGTCCGTGAGGACAGACTAGAAGGAGTGAACTGTGCTTGGATTAACTGGGGAAATGCAGCCTTCATGTCTGTTTCTGGCGTTCAAGGTTTGACTCTGAACGTCCTCAAATACTGAGAGCCCCCACCAGGCGTCTCTATGACTGAGTCCTATATTAAATATCAGTCTAAACTCCAAACATGCCCAAGAAACCAACAGGGACATCTCCCTAACCCGGGCCTCTCTAACACTGAGTCCCAGGTTAAATCGCGAACCCGGACGAGACACCGCGTTCACCGATACAAACTTTCCACCACAGCTCTCAACCCCTGAGTCCCACAAGCAGAGTGATCCAAGTGGACTCCAAACTCTGACAGAGTCGGACTTTCGGTCGATGATTTCTTCAGACTCTTAATCACTGATTGCCAAAAGCCCCATCACTAACGTCCAGACGTCTCTGGGAATGATTCTAAATAAAATCCCAACTAAGGTCCTTCACACGCGCTCATGTTTCACAGTCCCAAGAGGCCGTGAATCCAAGCCCACAACCCGACTCACCTGATCCCAAACCCCTCCAGACACCTCTGGCAGCGACAAAAGGCTGAGCCCACCTGCTATTCGGATGCCCTCCTGAGTGGTCTCTAGGGACGCAGACCGGCTAGGACCAGGCAATCTGGCGAGGACCTTGGAGCGCTGCGGGATTTCCGAATTCCGGCCGCGCGCTCCGCTCTATGACGTAACATGGCCCCGCCCACCTCGGCATTTCCGAGGGGCGGGGGCCATAAAGGCTGTAGGAAGACATCAAAATCATTCCTGGCCCCCTCAATGCTTTTATCAATACCTGCCGGTTGCGAGGGATGGTCAACAATGCTGTGCTAACTGCATAAGATTTCAGAGACCGATGCCTATCCAAGGCCAACATGGCGCGTTCAGCCGGCTGAGGAACAAAGAAAGATGGCGGCGCCCTTCATGCACTTTACAGCTGATTCGTTACTCTGGAGCGTCATGGGCGCGGCCATCTTAGAAGAAGGCAGGTGTCCCTATGACCGAAAAGGGCTTAGACCCGCGGTTGCTTGGGAAGATTAAAAAAGGTAGAAGTTGGGGCTTCCCTGGTGGCGCAGTGGTTGAGAGTCCGCCTGCCGATGCAGCGGACACGGGTTCGTGCCCCGGTCCGGGAAGATCCCACATGCCGCGGAGCGGCTGGGCCCGTGAGCCATGGCCGCTGAGCCTGCGCGTCCGGAGCCTGTGCTCCGCAACGGGAGAGGCGAAAACAGTGAGGGGCCCGCGTACCGCAAAAAAAAAAAAAAGGTAGAAGTCGAGACATCGCTGGAGAGGCGGGGGCCACGGAATTGACAAAAGCAGTCGTCACTTAATATCTTAGGTTTGGGGAGAGAGCGGTTGTGTGTGGAGTGGGTAAGGCCTTTGTAGTTTAGAAGAAATTAAGACAGCCTTTTGTATAGGTGTAGCCAATAAGGCAGAGTTCGATAAAAATGCTGATACCTGCATGGGATCGATACATAGCAACCTCTAGTGGGTAAGGGGATGAAGTGAAGGTGCAAATGAGTGAACTACATGTTTCCTTCCAAAAATAAATGGTGACAGTGGGACATTTGAGAATACAGAATTATGAGGTAATCAATTATCATACTTGGCATAGCTCACAAATTAAAAAAAAAGAGCACACTTTAAAATGTTGTTTTTATGCAGGTGTGGGAGGTTTCATTGTAGAGGATTTAAGTTAAAGAGGACTATTAGAAGGCAACCTGGATCCAATTTAAATTTTTCATTCTCTTTGACCCAGCAATTGTATTCCACCCATTTATTTGGTGAAAGTTTTCTTAATATTAACCACAGAGGCTTTTGTAATAAAAAAGAAAAACCTAAATGTACAATGATAGATGAATACTTTGGTAAATTATGGAACATCCACTCAACATAACAGTATATAACAATGAAAGATTGTCAGTATAAATAAGGAAAGGTAAATATTCTTCAGAGGATAAGACGCATCTGCATGATAGTACATATATTATGATCCTCTTATGGGAACAAACCATAAGTGCTTGTCTTTTTGAAAATTGCGATTAGTTAAATAAAATATTTAGCTTGGATTACTTTAGGGTTTTTACTTATGGGTAGAGCATATCAGAAGTTTTCACATTCCCAATTTTTGCAATTCTCCATTGTTAACATATCTTTGTATAATAATTATGTATTACTTTAGTATTATAAAAATAGCGATTTTAGAAAAGTTTTAGAAGAATACTGAATGATGTAGATGTTCATAATATAGTAACTATAAAGAGACTAGTCTCATTTTTCTTTTGTAAAAATATACTTACATGCATTTGAAATTTGGAGAATATATTGTTAACAGTATTTGGCTCTTAGGTACAATATGGGTGATTTAAAATTTCTGTATTGTTTATATATGTTTTCTAATTTCTATACATTAAGAATTGTTTTCATAATTTCTTAATAATATTACATTCCCTTCAGGGATTAAATTTTAGCCGCATTCACCTGATATGTCAAGCTCTGAAAGTAGAGTTACACATGTGGTCCAGAAAACTCAGGGCAGCCTGGGCAGCCCATTCTGGGATCCTGACTGATCAGTTTCAGGAATGAGCTGCTCTGGCCTTGCCATGGCAGCATGTGTAGGTTCACAGAAGGACAAGATACTAGCATCTGAGGGCCTGGTTGCTGGGGCCCTCATGTCTAATTCTTTGCTGTAAAATATCTGCCCAGAATCCATCCTGTGACAGTGTGGGGTGGGGGTGGGAGCACTAACCCAGCAATTAGGGCAGAGATGTTCAAATTTAAATATAGATCAAGTAAATAAATAAATATAGATCAGAAAGCTCACTTTATAAAGACAGAGCCCTGGGTCCCAGTTCCACAGGTTCTGGCTTAGGTCGTGGTGTGAGGCAGGAAGCCCAGAGAAAACACTTGCAAACAGGCCTGGAGTGTTCTTGGCTCATAAATATGCTGGCTGGCTCCCCTCAATACACTTAGGTATTGTTTCAAATTACATTTGTGCAGAATAGCCTTCCTTAGAAACCCTTTCTAAAATAGCTCCTCCATTACAGCCTATATACTAGGCTTAATATTTCTCCACAGCATTTAACAGAACTGAAATTCTGATGTGTATTTATTTTACTCAGTCACTTTCACTAGACTGTATGTTCCATGAAGGCCATGGCTTTGCCTGTTTTGTTCACTGATGTGTCTTCAGTGACAAAAACAGTGCCTGGCACAGTCTAGATTCTCAAAAAATATTTTTAAAGGAATGAATTACTCAACATAGAATTGGTATAGTATTCAACATAGATTGAATACTGCCACAGTACTGTCTGGCAGATGTCCTTTTTCTCCCCCCTCCCCAAAAGCAGGACTCACCATTTGTAAACTGAACTAAATATCCTTATTATATCAAAGAAATGACTCTGGATAGAGACAAGAGAAGAAGAGCCCTACTGCTAGGAAAACTAAGAATTTGTTGCCAGTAGACCTTCTCAAAAAGAATTGATAAAGGAGACTCTGACAAAAAAGAAATAACAGAAGGAAACATATGAAACATACGACATCAGGAATGAAGAAAAAGGAATGGAAAGGGTGAATATATCATCAAATATAATAGGCTATTCTCCTTTTGAGTTTTAAAAATTATGTTGGATGGTTGAAAGCAAACATGACAAGTTTACCTGCTATGGTCCTCAATTTGTATATAAGTGTCGAATATCATTTGCTGTTAGGGAATTGTAAAGTAAACCCATCATTATATACTACCAAACCCCTGATAGGATGGCTGGAATCAAATATGACAGTGCCAAGTGCTAGAAAAGACATGAAACAGCCAGAGCATTCATACACTGCTGGTGGGAATGTAAATTAGTACAGCCACTCTGGAAAAGTTGGCAGGTTCTTACAAAGTTAAACACAAGCATAACATATACATATGACTCCCGGGTATTTATCCCAAAGAAACAAATTCTTATGTTCACATAAAATTGGGTACACAGATGTTCATAGATTTTTATTCAAAACAGTGAAACACCAGAAACAACCCAGACATCCGTCAACAGCGAACAGATAAACAAACCCATGGTACACCCATACAAAAGATTTCTAGTCAGTAACAAAAAGTAAAACTATTTATACACCCAACAAATTGGATGGATCTTAAGGACAATTTGCTGAGGGAAATAAAGCCTATCTCAAAGGATACACACTGTATGATTCCACTTTAATAGCATTCTTAAAATAGCAAAGTTGGAGTGATGGAGTGTGATCAGTGGTCAGCATGGGTCAGGGTTGGGGGAGAGTGTAGCAGGAGGATGTTGTGTTGGCACAATGCCACATCCCAATTGTGGTGGTGTTTACAGAAATCTATATCTGAGATAAAATTTCTTAGAACTCTATATATCAAAAAACAAAACAAAACAAAACTCATAAAAATTAGTGCATGCAAAAACTATTGAAATCCAAATAAGGTCTATAGTTTACTTAACAGTACTGTACCAATGTCATTTTATTGGTCTTGATGATGTATTATGGTTATGTAAGATAATATCACTGAAGAAGCTGAGTAAGGGTATTCTGGAACTTTGTATATTTTGCAATTTCTTGTAAGTCTAAAACTATTTCAAAACAAATTTTAGAAAAATCATTTTGAGGTGTTTTTGTAAACTACTTAATGCTACTTATAAACTTGGATAAATACATCCAAACATGTTGAATTACATATATGAATATATTCCTTTTCCTTTTGAAATACACAGACTGAAAGAGATGAATTTAGAGCCTAAGAAATGCAAGAGCGAATCATATAATGATATGAGGTGGGCACAGAACACTCCTGCATTGTATATAACATTAAAATTTAATGTATATAACATTAAAACCCTAAACACAAGGTGGGCTTGTGTTCAGAAGAGCCCACTTTAAAATTATGGAATTATTGATAATATGGTTCAAGGTATTGTGTCCCAAAATGGACATCAGGTGTACAATAAGTTTAGATTTCTGAGGGAAAACTCAAATATACGTCATTTTCATGAGGCTTTTTTCCTTCAGTATTCTCTGATATTTTGCTAAAGTTACTCCACATTTAGTGGGTTCATAAACTATTCTATTTCTGTATGAATTCATGAGAAGCGATGAGGCAGAATGTATCACCGAAATCCTGCCATGTTCATTGTCATCTGAAAATTTTTCTCCAGCATGCATATGAGGCAACTATTGAGGTTTTATTTCTACGATCATCATATTGCTACTATGAATGAGCTCACTGGTGATCTGTTATGATCACTGATGAGATAGGGTTTTTATTCCCACAGAAGGCTTTCCTAGTCTCTCCATTCATAAGATTTATCTTAGTATATACTTTTCAGACATATAATTACCTAGAAATGTTTCCTGAAGCCTTTTCTGCATTGTATGTATCAGAGCTTTTTCCTACATGTTAATTTAGACATATAGTGTGAGGTAACTTATCACTGAAGGCACTAGCACATTCTCTGCATTCATTAAATTTCACTCCTATGCAAATTCCATAGTTTCCCAAGGGTGAAATCTAGCAACAGGCTAATCTACACTGACCACAGTCAAGTAGAGCACACTGATGTTTAATGAGTTCACTGAACTATCATGGTTTGTACCCTGAACAAGTACACTTATATATAATGAGTTCAGAGTCACTGCAAAGGATTATGTACCTTGACCTATACGTTTCTCGTGTGTATTAACAAGGCTTAACAAATGAGAGAAAGGTTACCCCCAATTGCTGAATCCACAGAGTCTCTCTCTTTTATGAGCTCTCTGATGTACAATGGGTGCTGAATTTGTGTTGAAGGCTTTCTCACACTAATTGCATACATACAATTTGTCTCCTGTGTAAATTTTCTGGTGGGTAATGAGACCAATACCAATTATGAATAGGATTTTCCACAGTCAGTACATATAAAGGTAGTTTATCCTGCGTGAAACCCTCTGATGTTGGACAAGGCATATTTTCTTCCTGTAGGTGTGACTATATTCATTGCTTTGTTAAGATTTGTTTCCATTATGAGTTCTCTGATGTACAATGAGATTCCTCTTTGAGGAGAAGCCTTTTCCACATTCACTGCATACAAAAGGTTTCTCTCCTGTATGAGTTCGCTGATGAACGACTAGACGGCTTTTCACAGTGAAGCCTCTGCCACATTCATTGCAGGCATAAGGTTTCTCTCCAGTATGAATTTGCTGATGTAAAATGAGTTCTGTTTCCATGACAAAACCTTTTCCACATTCACTGCATATATAGGACTTCTCTCCCATATGAATTTGCTGGTGTATGATGAGATAGCGTTTCATCGTGAAGGCTTTTCCACACTCATTGCATGTAAAGGGTTTCTCTCCAGTATGAGTTCGCTGATGTACCACAAGATTGCTCTTAAAGGCAAACCCTTTTCCACATTTATTGCATATATAGGGTTTCTCTCCAGTGTGAGTTCGCTGATGTAACATCAGTCCACTATTCACGATGAAGCCTTTCCCACATTCGCTGCATCTATAAGGTTTCTCACCCGTATGCGTTCGCTGATGCACAACAAGCCGACTCTTCAATGGGAAGCCTTTCCCACATTCACTGCAGATGTAGGGTTTCTCTCCAGTGTGAGTTCGTTGATGTATGATGAGCATGCTCTTCACGGTGAAGCCTTTTCCACATTCACCACATACGTAGGATTTCTCTACTGTATGATTTCTCTGATGTACAATCAGATTATTCTTCCTGGGAAAGCCTTTTCCACATTCATTGCACACATACGGCTTTTCTCCTGTATGAGTTCGCTGATGTTCAATCAGACGACTCTTCATGGTGAAACCTTTCCCACATTCATTGCATATGTAGGGTTTCTCTCCTGTATGGTTTCGTTGGTGTATGATGACATAGTGCTTTGTGGTAAAGCCTTTCCCACATTCACTGCAGATGTAGGGTTTCTCTCCTGTATGAGTTCGCTGGTGTATAGTAAGCATGCTCTTCCCAGTGAAGCCTTTTCCGCATTCATTACATATGTAGCATTTCTCTCCAGTATGATTTCGCTGATGTACAATGAGGTTACGCTTCCCTGGGAAGCCTTTTCCACAGTCACTGCATATGTAAGGTTTCTCTCCAGTGTGAGTTCGCTGGTGTTCGATCAGACGGCTCTTCATGGTGAAGACTTTTCCACAATCACCGCATATAAAGGATTTCTCTCTCTTGTGAATTCTCTGATGTTCATTGAGCCTGGACTTTCGGGAGAATACTTTTGCACACATACTGCATCCATAAGGCTTCTCCCCTGTATGAACTCTCTGATGGTCAGTGAGCTGAGACTTCTTAACAAAGGCTTTCCCACATTCACTGCATATGTGGGCTTTCTCTGCATTGTGAGTTCCTTGGTGCTTAATGACTTGGGACTTACTACTGATGGATTTTGCACTTACAGGGCATTGAACTGGAGAATGAAATTCTTCAGGCTTACCATGCAGAAATGATTTCCCATCTCCATTACATTTAGTAGAGTTCTTAATTTCATAGCTTTGGCCCTGGCTGACTAAACTTAAATGTGATTTCAAAGTTTTTATATAGAACTCAAACATATCATGATTTTGCCTGAAAGAGAAATGACTTTTGCTTTGAGGAACAGGATTTCCAAATGCATTATGTTCCTGGTATTGTTCTATACCTTTCAGCATTCTTTGATTTTCCCAGTCACCCTGAAGATGATTACCAACGTTGCCAGTTTCTAGGAAAGAAGAGAACAATGAGCCCTTTTTATTATTGTTTGGAATAAAATTGTTTTAAAAATTCCTTGGTTTTTTAAAAAAATGGCACTTTAGTGGCAACCCTATGATAACAGTATAAAAGAAACACCATGTATAAATATTCCTTATTTCTTACACATGGTAAAAACACAGTAATATAAACGAACCAAAAGGAAAAAAACAGTTAATGTACCAATAAGGTTAGGCAGTTGACAATCTATGTAGACTTGGCTGCTCTCTAAATAAGAAATTGCAAAACATGCAGAGGTAGTAAAATACATGCAAGTCTTTTTTTTTTGTTTTTTTTTTTTGTTTGTTTGTTTGTTTTTTGGCCTCACTGTGTGGCTTGCAGGATCTTGGCTCCCTGAGTAGGGATTGAACCCAGGCCCACAGCAGTGAAAGCATGGAGTCTTAACCACTGGACCACCAGGGAACTGCCGAGCAAGTCACGGTTAGCGCAAACGAGAGGGTATGAAGGAACAGAACTTGAAAAGACACAAGACCACAGAGGTGCAAGAGACAACTGATCCAAAATGATGAGGCTTGCATTTGTTCACTCCAAAACTATTTGGAGTGAACAAAGGCACTGTGTTGGTGTTTGGGATATATAAAATATGCCTTACTTACTTTCACTTCTCATAATTCCTGTTAGGGAAACCCAAATGAAAAAGAAGAAAAGAAAAAAAGTAGGGAGTTGGAGATTGCTAAATGTGGTTTGAAGGAGCAAAGGAGATGGTGGCAAGCGGAGGAAATGAGGATATTTTGAATACTTGCATAAAGAAAAGGCAAGGTTGGGGCTTCCCCGACGGTCCAGTGGTTAAGACTCCAGACTTCCAGTGCTTCCACTGCAGGTGGTGTGGATTCCATCCCTGGTAGGGGAACTAAGATCCTGCATGGCACACAGCCAGAAAAAATTTTTAAATGTTAAAAAAAAAAAAAAGAAAGAAAGAAAAAGCAAGGTTAACTGATGGGGTCAGTGCAGAGAGTGGTCTTTGAAAGTGAGGAACCCAGGATTACTCTGCTAACTGTATGGCTTGAGCCAATGGTTTGGCAAAAGCATCTCCAGTTGTGATGAGGAAGATTACTGAAATCCACATGTAGGAAAAAAAAGTGTGCATTGTGGAACCTAAACTTTGAGATGATATTAGATGTGTAGTACAGAAATCAAGAAGCCAAGTGCAAGTATAAGTGGAGGAAACAATGTGGAAATAATATGTGCATACTATTCAAGAAAAGAGGACTGGATGTGTTGGGAGGACATGTAGAATGAAAGATGATGATGGTACAGAACCAACGTCTTAAGACATTCCAACACTCAGGAGTTTGGGGATTCTTTAAGCCCACTTAGAGGATCCAAATTCTGACTACAGAAATCAGGGAACTATGCATACTAAGGTGTATAGAATAAACGTATTTGTAACCTGGCAAGTAACTGTAAAGGACTGTAAACTGAAATAATCTCTTGCATTGTAATCCTGTTCCTAAATTTGCTTCTGTAGACCACCATCAAACTAACTTTCCAAAAACATCAAACATATTAGTGGATAACTTGTATAATCAAAACTCTAACCTTTAGTCTATCTGTGTCACGTTATCCTATGTTCCATTCATAGTGAAACAGGGCAACAATGACTGTTAGGAAATTTTGTAACTGGCCGTGTACCATGTAGTCATCTTTGGAAGCTAATGGAATATGGAAACTGTCGCCTTTTTCAATCACTTTCTGCATTCAGTAGAGAGGTCGTATCCAAATTTTTCCCATGTCAACGTCCCTAATAAACTCTTCACTTGCCACCAGCAGCATCTACTTCAGTAATTCTACATTTGCATCTAGGTTGGCAACAGGTTGTACTAAAGGACCAACTTCCTCCTTTAAGACCAGGTTGTGTCAGCTTTACCTTCAGGTTTTTTTTAAGAACATCTGACTGTTCCTTATTATTGCTATCCTACTGCCACCCAGGTAAAAGGTAAGACAGGCTAGAGCTATAAAAATACAAAACCTACCAACCCTCCACTATGCTACCTCAATTACTCACATAGCAAATCCAAACAGTCATCCTGGCAAGAAAAGTGTACATCACCGTGAATATTCCATGTTTCCACTCCACTCCTCCTCCTGAAGAGACCTTCTAACACTGGCTTTCATTTGCCTGACTTCAGGCCACTCTTTTGATAGTCAATCCCATGGGCTTGCACATTTCTTATTTCATGCCTTCATTCCTAACTCATGGCATCATCTTCCTAATTCAAAATGTAGATAAACCTTGTACATATCATGCTGTCATTCCCACTCTGACTGTATTACTATAAGCTCTATTTCCTCTGTTTTTCTAAAGGAATCCCTTTATTGTTCATTTGTACAGTTACCTTCAGTGAAGACTGAACCTCACTCAAAGAGAGGTCTGGCCCTTGCCCTTGGCTACTGGGAGGTGATCTCTAGGCCCCTGGAATGTCCTGCCTGATAGGAGTGTCTTTGTTTGCCTGGTGGCTTTGGCCACCAGACACTCTAACAATGTGATTTATGACATGGGCTTTGGGCCACACCATATCAGTTACAACCTTTGGAGGAAATGGAGACTATAGGTATTAGCCTGACTTCTGGAGGGGCGAAAGACATATTTCCATGTGCGAAATGCGTGATTGAATCCCAATGAAAACTCTGGATACCAAAGGCTGAGCCTTTGGTTGGCAATACTCTGTGTATTATCACACATCATGGCTGGGAGGACATAATGCCGACCATGAGTCTGGAAGCACCACATTTGGACCCTTCCAAGAGTCCATATGACCTAAGAATTCCACTCCTAGATATATACCAAAGAAAAATGAAAACATATGTTCACAAAAAAGTTGTACATGAATGTTCATAGCAGCATAATTCAAAAAAGCCAAAAAGTGGATACCACCCAAATGTCCATCAATAGATAAATGAGTAAATAAAATGTATATCCATACAATGGAATATTATTTGGCAATAAAAAGGAATGAATTACAGATACATGTTAGAACTTCTATGGAAGAATTTCAAAAACATTATGATAAATGAAAGAAGTCTTTCACAATAGACCACATAGTTTATGACTCTATTTATATTAAATATCCAGAACAGGCAAATCTACAGAGATAGAAAGTAGATTAGTGCTCGCCTAGGGCTGAAGGCTTAGGAGGAAACTTTTATAAAGTGATGAAAATCTTCCAAAGTTGCTGTTGGTAATGGTTACATAACTCTCTTAATATACTACAAAACAATGAATTGTATGCTTTAAGTTGGCAAATTGTAGCATATGTGAATTATCTCAGTAAAGCTCTTAAAAAAAAACAAGAATATAATGGGAAAAACAAATGATTTAGGGAAATGAATACAGTGCTAACACCTAAGATGAGCCAAAGGAAAATCAGAAATAGCAAATGTATGAAGGAAGTAAACTGAAGGAGACATAAGCTGTGACTTAGGCAGAACTGATGTAGATGTAAAACAGTCTTTTCTAGTTAAAACAGTCAACAGCAGAGACCTCTAAGATGAGAACTCCATAGGCAGAGAATAACATTCAAGATAATACCAGCATGGACAAGATGTGCAATATTAAAAGAGAATCTAACATTAAAATAGGATGGTGGAAAGGGCTTTTTTTGTGGAGAGAAGATGATTCCTATGCCTCATACAGGAACTCAGAAATCTTAGGCCAGTAAAAGATGTAGAACATCTAGAATTCAAAGTATAGACAATATAGACAATAGTAAGGGAGATAGCAATTTGGAGTCTCAGCCAGAAAACAGATAGAGCTTAATTCATGAGACTGAAGGAAAATTTTGAGAAAATGGAAAGCAATACCTTTGAAGAACCTCAGAATGGTGGTGGGGGGCAGTGCGGTGGAGAAACTAAGGAGCCGGCTTGATGCACAGTCATAGACTAGGTTACTGTGAGGGAGCAAAATACAAGGTGCAGTTGGATGTCAGGAAGGGAAGTCTGTCTTTCTCAGTGGGGCAGGAGAGTGCGGTAGTCAGAAAACAGTGATGAATTCAGAGATCTCTCCTTGGAGCGAGGCCTGGAATTTCATAGCCAGGGAGGTGGAAGGGATTTGTGACAGGGTTCAAAGGAGAGGGTTACAGAATCCAAGGAAGACGAAAACGAGGCAAACAAACAAAAATCAAGATGTAAAATAAAATCAGCAAGGAACAGATCTCAGAAGAGAAAAGGGGTATACTTACCTCTCAAGACCTAAAAGTTCTTTTATGGGGAAAGAGATACATGGAGGCACAGTATCCTCAGACGCCCTCCCAGGCTTCTCGCACTGACTGACTATGATGTCTGCAGTTACCCAGCTGATCCTCACTCACCTGGACAGGTTTGACTGTGGATTTCATCTTCTATTGTCCACGGTTCTTCCCCTCGTTCCAACTTGGACATTGCATCTGGTTTGCTGACCCGATACCCTGTTCATGGGAAACGATAGAAGACTGAGACTCACTGAACTGGGCTGGGGTCTGTGGGGACGGGAGAATGTTACACTTGAGGGACCGTTTTTCACATCTGCCAAGCGGAGGTTTTTCACTCAGGAGAGACTCATGGGATATTGTGATATAATAATATATATTTGGTCTCCGCGCCCAGTTCCTGGCACAGAGTTTCTAAAGCCCTTGTGGGGACTTCCCTGGTGGTCCAGTGGTTAAGACTCTGTACTTCCACTGCAGGGGGCGTGGGTTTGATCCCTGGTCAGGGAACTGATATGGCACGTGGCACAACCAAAAAATAAAAATAGGGACTTCCCTGGTGGCACAGTGGTTAAGAATCCACCTGCCAATGCAGGGGACACAGGTTCGAGCCCTGGTCCTGGAAGATCTCACATGCTGTTGAGCAACTAAGCCCACGTGCCACAACTACTGAGCCTGCCCTCTAGAGCCCATGAACCACAACCACTGAGCCTGCAAGCCACAACTACTGAAGCCCATGTGCCCTAGAGCCCACGTGCAACTACTAAGCCTGCGTGCCTAGAGCCCGTGCTCCAAAACAAGAGAAGCCACCGCAATGAGAAACCCAGGCACCGCAACGAAGAGTAGCCCCCGCTTGCCGCAACTAGAGAAAAGCCCGCATGCAGCAACAAAGACCCAGCACAAACAAAAATAAATAAAATTTTAAAATAAATAAATAATAAAAATAAAATAAAGCCCTTGTAATTTCCTATGTGACGGGCTGGCAGGAACCTCTTCTGTTACAGCATTTGGTTTAAGTTCCAGTTCCTGACACAAGAACTTCTAGCACCTTTGGTGTCCAGAGTGATGGGTGTCTTCTGTGTGCTAATGAGATGACTGGTGGCTGGGGGTCCCTAGAGAGCTTCAGGGTGGAGGCTGGCTGCCAGAAAGACCAAGGCATGAGTAGAAGGTTGGAAATTTCAGCTCTAACTCCCTAACCCCTCCATGGGGAGGGAAGGGGCTAGAGATTGAGTTAATCACCCATGGCAAATGAATTAAGAAATCACGCTTACACAATGAAATCGCCACAAAAACTCCTAAAAAACCAGGTTGGGGGAGCTCCCGGGTTGGTGATCACATCAAAGGTGACACGCTTGGAGCGGGCATGGAAGGCCCACACTCCTTCCCCCATACCTCACCCTGGGCATCTCTTCCATTTGGCTATTATCCTTTATAATAAACTGGTAATGGTAAGCAAAGTGCTTTCCTGAGTTCTGTGAGCCGTTCTAGCAAATTACCAAACCTGAGGGATGGAGAGTGGGAATGCCCGATTTAAGGTCAAGTCGGACAGAAGTGTGAGTACCCTGGGTACCCAATCCGTTCGACTAGTGTCTGAAGTGAGGGCAGTCCTGCAGGACTGAGTCCGTAAGCCTGTGGGATCTGAGGCTGACTCTGGGTGGTTAGTGTCAGAAAAGGATTGAGTTTCGGGACACCCAGTCCATACCTGGAGAGTAGGAGAATTGGTTTGGGGGATAGAAAAACCCCCACACATTTGGTGTCAGCTGTGTTGGTAGTAAAAACAACTCACGGCACAGTGTATACACCCTCTTATCAGGAGCCAGAGGAGGGATTGAGAATCTGCCATTAGGGCACTGCAGTGACTTCCAAGTGTAAGCAGCTGAGGAAGGAAAGGCCACTGACTGGAGACCCACTGAGGGACCCAGGGGAGCCGTCCTCACCCACAGACAGCAGGTTGCTATAGTTCTCCAGCATCACGTCCCGGTACAGGTCCTTCTGAGGAGGGGCCAGGAGCTGCCACTCCTCCCACGTGAAGTCCACAGCCACATCCTTGAATGACAGGGTTTCCTGTAATACCAGAGTCCTGTTTAATGCGAGTGTTTCTCTTTGACTGACTCATAAGGAACATAAAAGAAGCTGTCCCGCTCATATTTCTATGATTTTGACACCAATTCCGATGTGTTTCTTTAAACACATCACCAAGAAATTCTCTGACACCAGCTGTGTGTCCTACAATTTAATTCTGACATGATCGACCTGAAGAGAGCATCACATGCCACAGGGTAAGAGTCCAGTTCCGCGAGACCTCACCACCACCCCACTCCAGATGCCAAATGCAAGTCCAGGATGCCACCTGTGCTCCCGACTAACCAGCTATAGATTGGAGGTTCCAGTGAACCTCCAATGCTCCTTGGGTTTGATTAACTTGCTGGAGCAGCCCAGAGAGCTCGGGAAAAGAGTTTACTTACTGTTCACCAGTTTATTATAAAAGCATATGATAAGGGATACAGATTTCATCCAGATGCAAGAGCTGCTCAAGGCAAGGTATGTGGAAAGGAGCTTGGAGCTTCTGTGCCCTCTCCTGGTGCCCCTCCAGCACCTCCATGTGTTCGCCAGCCCAGAAGCTCTCTAAACCCCATACCTTTGGGATTTTTATGGAGGCTTTATCACGTAGGCATGATTGATCATTAACTCTATTTCTAGCCCCTCCCTCTTCTGTGGATAATGCGGAATGAGATGGAAGGTTCCAAGCTTCTGATCATGGCTTGGTCTTTCTGGTAAACAGGTCCCATTCAGGAGCCCTTCAAGTGTTGCCTCATTAGAAAGAAAGGCACTTCTATCACCCGGGAAATTCCAAGGGATTTAGGAACTCTGTATCAGAAACCAGGATCAAAGACCAAATTTTACAACAAAATATGCTCTTAGCACTCTTTTTAAAAAAATTTTATTGAAATATAGTTGATTTACAATGTCATGTTAATTTCTGCTGTACAGCAAAGTGATTCAGTTATATATATATTCTTTTGCATATTCTTTTCCATTATGGTTTATCACAGGATACTGAATATAGTTCCCTGTGCTACACAGTAGGACCTTGTTGTTTATCCATTCTAAATAGAATAGTTTTCATCTGCTAATCCCACACTCCTACTCCATCCCTCCATCACCCCCAGTCTCCCTTGGAAACCATAAGTCTGTTCTCTATGTCTGTGATTCTGTTTCTGTTTTGTAGAGAAGTTCATTTGTGTCATATTTTAGATCCCACATATAAGTGAAGTTGTATGGGAGCTCGTAGTACTCTTATTATTTAGGAAATTACAAGGATTTTAGGGACTCTGTGCTAGGAATTGGGGTCAAAGACCAGAAGATTCTCAGAGCACCCCTATTTATAAGGGTTTTAGGAGCTCTATGTCAGGAACTAGGGGCAGAGACCAATGTGTATATTTCTTATTATTTCACAAAAGGCTAACATCATATTAGATACACTGAAAATATAACGAGTGAACTGGAATATGCATTTGAAAAAATAACTAAAGATGAAGCAGATGCAGAAAGAGACAGAAAATATAAAGGAGAGTTTACCAAATATGGAGAATACACTGAGGTCTAACATAGGCCTCTACGTAGTTTTTGAAAGAGATTATAGAGAAACAGAGAAGTGATATGAAGATCTCAGGAATTAAGAAAATTTTAGAACTGATTAAACATCCTGTAACTCAGACTTAGCCAGCCAGCAAAGCCAAGCAGGAAATCTGCTTCTAGATGAGTGAGACTGAAGCTATAGAACATCACTTGCAAAAGTCAGATTCGGAAACCAACTAGAAAGAAAAGACTCGGGCTTCCCTGGTGGCGCAGTGGTTAAGAATCCGCCTGCCAATGCAGGGGACACGGGTTCAAACCCCGGTCCAGGAAGATCCCACATGCCGTGGAGCAACTAAGCCCGTGTGCCACAACTACTGATCCTGCACGCTAGAGCCCGCGAACCACAACTACTGAGCCCACGTGCTACACCTACTGAAGCCTGCACGCCTAGAGCCTGTGCTCCACAAGAGAAGGCACTGCAATGAGAAGCCCGCGTGCCGCAATGAAGAGTAGCCCCCACTCGCTGCAACTAGAGAAAGCCCGTGCGCAGCAATAAAGACCTGATGCAACCAAAAATAAATAAATTAAATAAATTTTAAAAAAAGAAATGATGAGGAAAGGATTAAAAAAAGAAAAAGAAAAGAGAAGACTCATTACCATCAAAAGAAAGACAAAATTGACGAAATGAAAACAACAGAAGCCAGAAAAATGTTGTGATGAATATATATTTGGTCTTTGCCCCTGGTTCCTGGAACACAGTTCCAAAAAACCGTGGGCTCTCTAGGGTGATAAGAGTATCTTTTGTGTGCTCATGAGATGACTGGTGCCTGGTCCCCAGAAAGACCCCCAGCCTCCAGGGAGGGAACTGGCATTGGGGGTTGAGTTCAGTCCCTAATAGCCAGTGATTTAATCAATTTGTGCCTACATCAGAAAACCACCATAAAAACCCTTAAAACATCAGGTTCAGAGAGCTTCCGGGTTGGTGAACACATAAGAGGTTCTGGCAGGGTTGTGCTCCCAGGGAGGAACTTCCGTGCCCCTTCCCCCATACCTCGTGCTATGCATCTCTTCCATCTGGCTATTCCTGAGTTGTAGCCTTTAGAATAAACCAGTGAATATACGTAAAGAGCTTTCCTGAGTTCTGTGAGTCATTCTAGTGAATTACCAAACCTCAGCAGGGGGTTGTGGGTACCCCCGGATTTAGAGCTCGTCATCAGAAGCTTAGGTAACAGCCTGGGACTCTTGACAGGCACCTAAAGTGGGGGCAGTCTTGTGGGACTGAGCTCTTACCTTGTGGGATCTGATGCTAACTCCAGGTAGTTAGTGGCAGGATTGAGTTGAATTGTAGGACACCCAGTTGGTGTCTGGAGAGTCACAGAATTAGGAGGTGTGAGGAAAATACCCCTACATTTGGTGTTAGAAGTGTTCTGGATAACTACAGTTCAGCAGTGTGGAATGTCTTCATTGTCCTGATCCTGTGGCCATGCAGCCGAGGCCCAAATGCCACCAGGGAATGAAATGAGACCTGCTTGTCAACCGAGCTGCCAGATGAGGGGAAATCTGATGGGATAATCCACCCCTGTGTTCTTGCAGAGATTACATCATAGAGAAGAGAGTTACTTGGTTGAGCAAATTATTTTCTTTTTCTTTTTTAAAAGAGGTGGCAAATTCTTAACACTGCTGATCTTACCACCTTCTGAATTTTTTCACGTGAGATGTAGATCCATTTGGAAAAACAAAACCTTAGGTTCCTACCTAATTTCACACTCAAAAATAGTTTGTCGGGCTTCCCTGGTGGCGCAGTGGTTGAGAGTCCGCCTGCCGATGCAGGGGACACGGGTTCGTGCCCCGATCTGGGAAGATCCCACATGCCGCGGAGCGGCTGGGCCCGTGAGCCATGGCCGCTGAGCCTGCGCGTCCGGAGCCTGTGCTCCGCAACAGGAGAGGCCACAACAGTGAGAGGCCCAAGTAACGCAAAAAAAAAAAAAAAAAAAAAAAAAAAAGAAAGAAAAATAGTTTGTCTCCTGTTTAGAGTCCTAGCCATAAAACAAAAGAATCTGTGAAAGGAATAGAGACAAATATGAATTATGTTCATGTCACAAACCAAAAACCATAAAAGAAAATAAGTAGCAAACTTTATAAGAGGAAAAATTAAAATGTCTGCATTGAAAAAGTTACCGTGGATAAAGCTGAAAGAAAAGTGACAAGCTGGGAAAATATTTTTTATAAACAAAAGAAAGAATCAATATGTAGTGGATAGGCATGACTCCTATTAATCAGTAAGAAAAAAAATCATTTTGTTAATGTAAAAATGATAAGGACAGGCATATCACAAGAGAAAAAGAGTCCAACTGGCCAATAAATATACAACATGGATTTCAACCTTACCTATGATGAGGTAAATGCAAAATAAGGTAAAAGAATAAACATTGGACCATCCAGATTGATGAAATTATACAATTTGATAATGTCCTATTATTAAGTACTGGCAAAGATTTAAGGCATGGATGATCTCACACATCACTTACTATGTAGCAGGCATGAAAAGGAGCAGGACCCTAGGGGGCCTCCCCAGGACAGATAGACACACACACACACACACACACACACACACCACACACCACCATGTCCTCAGCCTGCCTTTTGTCTGCAGAAAAACTTTAAAGAATAAATTTAATCAGAGAAGTGAGAAAATGCAGACACAAAGGAAAACAGTCCAACAAGACCAAATAATAATAGCTTAGTCATTAAACAAAGTCAAGGACCTTTAGTTCCTCTTCCAGGGCTATAGATAATATTCTAAGCCATATCCTTTGAGCTGTTTTGTAGATACTGAAACCCTCACCAGTTGGAAGAAGTTAACTACATGACGACCAGACTGTAGCCATGACATAAGCTGCCAAAGTTCCGAGAACTGGCTTCAAGGAATGGGAACAAACCGACCGTGGAACTAAAGATGAACTGTACTCACCACAATCAAGATGACGCTGATCAGACCATGGCATGACCGATTTCAAGATGGCGGCCAGAGTTGACTATGCTGTTTCTGCATGTAGCCCCCTCCCTCTGCCTATACAGCCCTGAAACTCCCCTTTAAAAGCTCTGGCCCACTGACTGGCAGTGGGGAGTTGGCCTCTGGACACGAGTACACCCTCTTCCCCCAGTTGCCAGCCTCTGGAATAAAACAAACTTTCCTTTCCACCAACCTTGCCTCTCGAGTTATTGGCGTTCAAGCAGCAAGCAGCCAGACCTGACTTTTGGTAACAGACACTCATCTAAATGCTTTGCATAGTTTGACTTATTTCTTTGAGTACAATTATAGATGAATGGAATTTTATACAGCTAATATTCACAAAACAGTTGCAGTCATTATTCTATTAGATGCTTAAATTATACTATCTCAGGCCAAAGGGATGTTCTTTAGAGTATAATTCCACTGATGCACAAAACATAACAGACGTATTTATGTACACAGATATGTACATGAACCCACATGCATTTATAAATAGGCACGGCACACACACAGAGACAGTAACAGTTACACATTATGTTCCAACACTAGTCATTTACTAGGAATCATATAAACACTATGTTCTTGATCCTACTTTGCCATGGCGTTGGAGTTTATCTACAAAATTTATTTCTCTCTAGATACTGAACTGATTTTTTTTTTTTTACAGGCCTCTACAAATCCATTCAGGAATAAAGGAGAGAATAAAACAAGACATGAGTCACCTGGGCCTGGATCATTTTCTTCTGTTCTCTGAAAATAGCTGGCAATGCAGAGGCTCTGTCTTTGTCTCTTCTGGATATACCAAAATTTCTGGTTAGATATAACCGTCGCCAAAGTATCCCTAGAAATAACAATATCTAGGTCCTGGAAACTCCTCTTTCTTCATTCATATCTTGTCTCTTGTTAGCACCTGTGGGTTGAAAAGCAAAATTACTTCTGGAATTGTATTCCTTCTTCCTGTGCACTCACCTTAACACGTGGTCCCCAATATTTCTGTCTCTTCATTTGATTCCCCAGATAATTGTACACCTTGGGCCAATGAAACCTAACTCCCTGAATATATGGAAGTAGCAGAAATTGAAAGGGAAAGTGGCAAAGGAGAATAAGCACAGTACTATATTTCAGTGGCAGGTAATTTTCAGACAATTATAGAAATGAGGCCATCTAGGCAGTGAGAAATTGTAAATATTTCCTTTAAACTTTGATGCCCTCAAGCCTCTTTAAAAGTCTTCATATAGGGCCTTCCCTGGTGGCGCAGTGTTTGAGAGTCCGCCTGCCGATGCAGGGGACATGGGTTCGTGCCCTGGTCCGGGAAGATCCCACATGCCGCGGAGCGGCTGGGCCCCTGAGCCATGGCCGCTGAGTCTGCGCGTCCAGAGCCTGTGCTCCGCAGCGGGAGAGGCCACAACAGTGAGAGACCCGCGTACCAAAAAAAAAAAAAAAAAAGTCTTCATATCCCCTGTTTACATACACATTTTAATATGAGGGACAATGAACACATCAAAAAAAGAAGAGAGAGAAAAGGAATATAAGCCATAAATACAAATTTAAAAAACAATTCAAAAATATAAATACTGGGAAAGGAGCAGTCTTTAAATATTCACATATAGAACCTGAAAAGAAATATGCAGTCAACCTGCAGGAGGAGTGATAAAAACAAAACTTAAATTAAAAGATTACTAAATTGAAATATGCTGAATTGTTCTTCCCCCAAACTTTCATTTCTTTGGGTTCAAAAGGAAGGGGTGCTGTAGGGAGCCAAAAGGGATTAGAAATTTTGTGGTGGGGCAGGGACTTGGACCTGAAGCTTTCAGGGAACGTTAACTAACGTTCACCAAGTCTGTCCCAGCAGCCAAAGTCTGGGCTCAACACACGCACCTACCAGGGCTCCTGAGCCTCCGAGCCTTCTGCTGTCACACATCCCTGCACGAAAGACAGTGACCATTACCCCACCGGATTAATACCAAACCAGGTCAGATACACACGTACACTGACCTCCATTAACGGTTCCTCGACCTTTGAGCTCCAAATTATCCGAGAACCCGAACAAGTCTCCGCATTCATTGACGAACCCCACGCCACCAGTTGTCAATCACCCCCGAAGACCTTAAACCCTGACCTCAGGACTCTCGGTAGTTGATCTGTTCAGACCTTTAATCGCTGATGACCAGAGCCCCCCATGATTGACCCCAAAGACACCCCGATCATAGACATTGTACTGACTCCTCCATGCTCCCTTCAAAAACAAAACCAAACCACCATCCACCCTTGCGCCACCTTCCCAGACTCAAAGGAGCCACAGCCCACCTAAAGGCCGACAGACCGCCCCCATCCCTGCCTTTTCTACAGCCAGACCCACATACCCACCTGGTTCTCTCCTGAACCTGCAGCGACCTCTTCAGGGCCTAACTTTATTCCCCGAACTCCTTTTACTTCTGGTCCCCTCGCCCAGCCCCCTCTCCCGAGACCAACCGACAAGGGTCAGCGGCGTTTTTACCGCGTTTCTATGGTGAACGGATTGGGGGTTTCCGGCTTTTCCTTATGAGGTAATACGTCCGCGCCGCCACCACAGACTCGGCGCCCTGGGGTCGCCATCTTTGCGCACCTGACGTACAGAAGGCGTGGCGGCCGCTGAGAGACCACGGCTGAAAACTCTCCTATTTCCTGGTACCTCAGCCCCTTAAAGGAAAATGGGGAGATTTTAAGAGGCTCGAGCTCATACAAAGCAAACATGACGTGGGGGTAAATTCATTTGAATGGACAGGGCCCGCTTGTGGACGGTGAACGGCGCAAATTTTTCAAAGGCCGGAGCCCATCAAGACCGAAAGGGCGCAGTACATTCTGAGCGGCTGTGACGTCTCGGCTGCGTGGGAAGTTAAAATTGCTTCTGGACACCTCGATAACTGGTTTAATTGCGAAAAGATTTAGAGGCCGTATGAAAACTTAAGCGTGCTTGGCAAAAAAAACCCTGGCGGCGCGCTGTAGCCGTTTCGGGTTTGAGCCGTTGGGCAGGAGCACCGTGGACGCCGCCCTCTTAGAGGAGATTCGGTGTCCGTACTGCGGGGCAAATGCTGTCTGCGGAGCTCGGCGTGGAACTGGCAGATGGAAGTGTTTGGTTAAGACCAAGGTTTGGAAAAGTGACAGTACGGGGGATGCAGCGATCACAAAGTGAGCGGAAACGGTGGACGTTGTGAGCCTCTTCCCACCCGTGCTCCTTACCCAGCCCAACCTGGGCAGCACTGGGCCGCCTTCTGTCACTACAGATTAGTCTGCGTCCTTGTCATAAAATTAGTAGTGTCTGTGATGGCTTCTTTCACGTAGCACGACTGTTTTGAAATTCATCATTTTTAAAAAATATATTTATTTATTTGGTTGTGGCTCACAGGTTCCTTAGTTGCGGCAGGCGGGCTCCTTAGTTGTGTCATGCGAACTCTTAGTTGTGACATGCATGTGGGATCTAGTTCCCTGACCAGGGATGGAACGCGGGCCCCTTGTATTGGGAGGGCTGAGTCTTATCCACTGTGCCACCAGGGAAGTCCTGAAATTCATCATTTTAAAAGTATCAATAGTTCGTTCCTTTTTTGCTGCTTTAGTATTCATTGTTGGATATTCCAAAATTTAATCATTCACCAGTTGGTGAACCTTTGCATTGTTTCCAGTTTTTTGGATACTGCCAGTGGAACTTCTACGAACATTTGTGTGCAAAAAATAAAATGACCTCAAAGAACTGGTTTTCCCACAGTCCTATGTGTCTTCATCAGGTCACCAAGAAGTTTTTGCCAGACATTTACAGGCCTGCTACCCATTTCTAGCCCTGCTCCAGCTCATATTCTCTTCCTCCTCTCACCCCAGCCCTGAGCTAGAATGCTCATTCACCCTGGGGAAACAGATCTTGAGAACACAGGCTGTGGCACAGATGCAAAGTTCACCTACTTTCTTCAATTACGTTCAACTCCATAGGACCTTGTAAGTCTCAGAAAGCACCTGATAAAAGTCATATAATGAAAGGTCAAAGCAGGAAGTCAGTTTCATTTTCTCTCACTGGACCGTCATTACCATGCTGGTCCAATCTCTCACCTGAGATACTAGAATTGTCCCTGCTTATATCCTTGACCCATATGATCTCATCTTCATAGAACAGGCAAGGCGATCCTTGTAAAATGCAAATCAATCATGAAATTTTCCTGTTCTCAATTATCTAATGACTACATTACAGGATTGAATAAATATTAGATGGCCAATTTAGGTGTTTAAAAATATTATGTTGGAGTAAATTTACCCGATAATCCAGGGTTTGCAATGGAAATGTAGGACAGCTACTGCATAGCAAATTTCCATTTCTTGTTCTTTAAGCAGGACTCAAGATTTTTTAGCAGGATATGTTTAATAGATCAAGGGAAAGACTCTGGATAAGAAGAGGGGATAAGAGCTCTGCTCATAAGAGTAAGAAGGAATGAAAAAGATAAGGAAAATCACATGTCTAATTGAACAGGTCACAGAGGGGATGGAATCTTTTTTTTGGGGGGGGGGATGGAATCTTTGAAGTGATGGTAACTCTCAAAGGTGATAGGCCTGTGAACAAATAAATACAAGGTTTCTTCTCGAGTACATCCCAAGGGGATCTTACCACTTTTCATCTCCTATACTTTGTTCCAATGTACAATGAAACTGACCTTCGGGATGAAACCATTTCCACAATCTACATGTAGAGGGTTTCTCTCCAGTCTGAGTTTTCTGAGGTAAAATGATACATGATTCAATGAGGAAGGCTTTGCCACATTTAGCATATATGTAAGGTTTCTCTCCTGTATGGATTTTCTGGTGTTTGGTGAGCCTGGACTTTGTGGTATGTGCTTTCCCACGTATGCTGCATCCATGGGGGTCTCTCTCCCAGGTGAATTCTTTGATGTTTAATGAGCCGAGACTTCCTGATGAAGGATTTCCCATATTCACTGCATACATGGGATTTCTTAACTCTGCGATCTCTCTGATGCTTAATGAACAGAGCCTTAGTGCTGCTGAGTTTTCCAATTTCAGGCAGTTTTAGTATGAATTTGCTCATCCTTTATAAAGAGAGGATTTCCCATCTCTGTTACACCCCACAGGGTTCTTTATTTCATAGCTTCTGTTCTGATTTTACTACATTTAAATTTGCAGAATTTCCATGATTTTGTCTTAAAGGAAAATGCTTTTGGGCTGGATGAACAGTATTTTCAAAGGCATGATGTTCGTGGCATTGTTCCGTCCGCTTTAGGCATCATTGGTTATGCAAGTGTTCCTGCAGTTGATCATCAACTTGCTTGACTTCTAGAAAAGATGAGAACATGAATGCTTAGGTGTGGATCAAATCTTTAGTGTTGGTTGCATGATCTCAGTACAAAAGAATCTTTAATAATGTTCCTTATAATACTGTGATAAGCCATAATGTAAAAGAATATGAAAAAGAATGCATATACATGTATAACTGAATCACTTTGCTGTACAGCAGAAATTAACACAACATTGTAAATCAACTATACTTCAATAAAATAAAAAAAATGTTCCTTGTTTCTTAGACATTGGGAAAACCACAATACACAAAAATCAAGTCGCAAAAGCAGAAAGTGTACAAACAAGTTGAGGTAATTCACAATGAATAAATATAGATCTGGCTGCTTTCTAAATACTGCCTTGCAAAATGTGCAAATGTACTAAAAAAAAAAACAAGAAAGTCACTGTTAGAAGAGAAAATTGAGGTGATAGGAAAACCTGATCCAAAATTACAAGGGCTGGGACTTCCCTGTTGGTCCAGTAATTAAGACACTGCACTCCCAATGCAGGGGGCCAAGGTTGGATCCCTGGTCAGGGAACTACATCCTGTATGCTGTAACTAAGAGCCCGCATGCTGCAACTAAAAGATTGCGCACTTGGCAATGAAGATCCCATGTGCCACAACTAAGACCCGGCACAGCCAAATAAATAAATATTTAAAAATAAAAAATTACAAGGGCTGCTTTCTTTCATTCAGTAAATCCTTGTTAAATGCCTATTATGTACTGGCCATAGTGCTGGTGTTGGGGACACACGAACATATTCTTTCTTCTCACTTGTGTTGACATCCTGGTTAGCAAAAATGAAATAATAATAAATAAATAAATAATAAATGGATGGACCTATAGATTATCATATTAAGTGAAGCAAGTCAGAGACAGATATCATATCACTTATATGAGGAATCTAAAAAAATGATACAAATGAACTTATTTACAAAACAAATAGACTCACAGACATAGAAAACAAACTTATGGTTACCAAAGGGAAAAGCCAGGGGAGGGATAAATTAGAAGTTTCAGGTTAACATATACACACTACTATATATAAAATAAATAAAAAGGACTTACCATACAGCACAGAGAATTATACTCAGCATCTTGTAATAACCTATAATGGAAAAGAACCTGAAAAAGAAATATATATATATATAAAAGAATCACTTTGCTGAACACTTGAAAGTAACACAACACTGTAAATTAACTATACTTCCATAAATAAATTAATTTAAAAAACAATCAAGCAAAGAAAAAAAGGAAGAAGCTACAAACTATGAGAAGTGGTCTGAAGGAGCAAAGGTGATGGAGAGAGGTGGAGGAAATGAGGATATATGATAGAGTGAGACACGGCTTCCTGATGAGTTCAAATTGTGGGAGAGGGAATAAAGAAAACAGAACCTCTGGAGAATTCCAGACTGGGGCAAAGAGAAGTCTTAGTCCATTTGAGCTGCTATAAAAAATACCATAGACTGGGTGGCTTATAAACGACAGAAATTTACTTCTCATGGTTCCAGAGGCTAAGAAGTCCATGATCAAGACGCTAGTAGATTTGGTGCCTGGTGAGGGCCTGCTTCCTCATAGACAGAGCCTTCTAGCCCCCACTTCACATGGGATAAGGGACAAGAGCTCTATCTGGGTCCTCATGACCTAATCACCTCTCAAAGATCCCACCTCCTAATACCATCACCTTGTGGTTAGGGTTTCAACACATGATTGGGGGGACCCCAACATTTAATCTATAGCAAGAAGCTAAGAAACCATATAAACACACAGAGATCAGGTTATGATGTGGGTACAGCATTTAACGTGGGGTTAAATGTCAGGAAGGGAAATCACTATTTCCCAACGAAGCAGGAAGATGCACTAGTTAGAAGGCTGCTGAATTCAAAGATCATTTTTCTTTTTTTAAAAAAATAAATTTATTTTTGGCTGCAGTGGGTCTTCATTGCTGTGTGCAGGCTTTCTCTAGTTGCGGCGAGCAGGGGCTACTCTTCATTGCGGTGCACAGGCCTTTCATTGTGGTGCCTTCTCTTGTTGCTGAGCACGGGCTCTAGGTGCACGGGCTTCAGTAGTTGTGGCCGTGGGCTCAGCAGTTGTGGCACATGGGCTTAGTTGCTTTGTGGCATGTGGGATCTTCCTGGACCAGGGCTCGAACCCGTGTCCCCTGCACTGGCAGGAGGATTCTTAACCACTGCATCACCAGGGAAGTCCCTTCAATGATCTTGGAGTAAGAACAGGAAGGTAGAATCTTGTAGCAAGGCAGGTGGAAGAAATAGGCAGAGATGCTGTGACAGAGGACAAGAAAGGAGAAGATGTAAGAAACCTAAGAAGAAAAGTAGGTAAACAACAAAGAAAATCAAGATGTATGTAAAATAAACAGGGACCACTGGGATCAGATCTCAGAGGAAGAAATGGGGGTCTATTTCCCTTT